TGGTCAGCTTTATGCCCATCCAAGAGCTGTCTGGTGACATTACATGGGGCAAGGGCTTGGCAGGGCTCTTGGACAAGACTGAGCTGGGTTGTAGGAGGTGCTGTGGGTGTAGGTGCCCTCTGGGTGGGGTAGGGCCTGGGTTGGCAGAAAATGGAGGGCAGAGCTCGACTGAGGAGGAGGAAGCCCTGCCCATCACCTTCTGAGCTGCACCATTCAGTGGTGCCTGAGTCTGTTGGGTGGGTGGGCTGGGTGGGGCACTGGCTTCATGCCAGTCTGCAGGGGACGGGATGAAGCAGCTCTGCCTCCTCCTTGGCCCCAGGCCTTGGGCACGGTTCTCAGGCCTTTCCCCTTCTCAGCCTGGCTTGTGACCCATACCTGGCTCTCCTCCCCAGCTTCTCTGGTTCTTTGTTTAGTGAAGGCCCCGCCCCACCCCACCCCCAGCCACACTCTGGGCATTCCAGTTCAGCAGGTTCCAGCCTCTGGTTTCAGCAGCAGACACGTTGAGGCAGGAGCCAGAGGGAAACTTTCTCTCCTTGGCAGTGGGGGGTCCCCTGGGTGTGTTAAAGGCCAGAGTCTTCATCTTTTTCTGGCGTTTCTTCATTAGTTCATGCCTTCATTTAGCACAGATTGTAAGGGGCTAGGCACCCGGATAGAGCAGGAAGCAAGGCACACATGATCTCTGCCCTGCCTTGGGATATTTTCCAGGTGGGGAGGTCAAATAATCATTAAAAAATGTGGAAAAAGTCATAGCCTGACACATCTGCATAACAGACTGAAAGTGCTGAGAGAGGCCAATGGAGTTAAGGGGGAGCTGAAGACCAGGAACTGAACTTATGGGGGAGAGGATTCAGCAAGTTTTTCTGACGAAGTGCTGTTTAGATTAAGCTCAGAAGTGTGAATAAAAGTCGGAAGGTAAAGAAGTAGGCTAAGTTCTTGATAAGGGAGCTCTGGTGGCCTAGTGGCAAGACGCTGCACTGCAATCCCAGAGGTACAAGGTTCAAATCCACCAGATGCTCTGCTGGAGAAGGAGGGGGCAATCTCCTCCTGTACCAGTCAGATCTGATTTGACGGTACATGTAAAAATTACAACTAAAAAAAAAATCTTGGAGGGTCAACTACAGGTCCATTTCAGACTGATAGCACTGAATTTGAGATGACAGAATGGAAGGTGTTAATAAAGCATTTAAAAAAAATTAAAAATAAAAAAAGAAGTAGGCTAAGTTCTTGATAGACGGAACCACTTGCGCAAAGGCCCTGAGGCCACAAGGAGCATTGCTATTTCAGCATGAAAGCCAAGGCTAAGGGAGAGTGGCCAGGCTAGGCCTGTCAGGACCTTGTCCGGGATAATAGGACTTTCAATTTTGTTCTGAGAGCAGTGGGAGGACTTTGATCAGTCTATTCTCTGGCTGCTTAGTAGAGAATGGACTGCAAGCAGGGACACTTTCAGGCCAGTGAGGTGTCTAATCAGAAGAAGATGTATTACGGTGCTAGGAGTGCGGATGGACAGAGGTGAGCTGCTTTCTGGAGGTCCTCAGGAGTGGAAAGAATGTTTAATGGGAAGGGAAGAGGTTGAGATAGTTCCTCTGGAACCACAGTAGGCAGAATCCTGTTCAAGAGGACCAGCAAATATGATGGGCTCTTTTATAGAGCAGTCGAAGGAAGGGAGAAAGGGCAAACTGAAGTGTTCTGGAATCTGTATGGCTCTCTGTGCCACTCTGGCGCTTTCCATGCGTGTGTGTCTCCCCTCCAGCACCCTGCTACACACGTGCCCTGGCTCCTCTGATCCAGTGCCCCTCTTCTACTCTAGATATATCTACTCCAGAAGAGTCAGGTGGGCTCCTGAGGGCAGTACAGTCAGCTGAGGCTTTGGAACCTGTCTGGGTCCATCACCCAATCACTGACTTTTCAGACCCTTAACCCTCTGAGCCTCCACTTCCCCATCTCTAAAATGGGGATAATACCATTACCTACCTCGTGGGATCATTTTAAGATTTGTCGTTGTGTGCCGTCAAGTCAGAATATTGACCCATAGCTGACCCTCTGGCAGGTTTTCAGAGGCAATTAAACCCATAGGAGGAGATTGCCCATCCTTCTCCCGTGGGTTTTAAGATTAATCATGTTAATTGACAGTGACGGCCACCCATGTGTTGAGCCTGTGTAAGGAGTTGACAGGCATTAACTCGTTTCATCCACACAGACCTGTGAGATGGGACTGTCACTTGAACCATTTTGTAATTGAGAAAATAGAGGCTGAGAGATGGTGAGTGACTTGCTAAATAATGGCATAAATTCCAGAGCCCACTGGCCCCTGGAGTGCTGGGTTTAAAAAAAAAAAAAGTGGAACAAAACTGTGAAACTACCCTCCAGCCAGCTTCCATTCCAGCACTGCCACAGAAATGGAGTTTTTTTCCCCCCAGACACAGCCAGTCCTCTCTACCTAATCACCTGCTCACTCAGATCTGCTTCCTCATCCCTCTAACCTCCACCAGCCACTGCCCCTGCTCTGAACATGCACCCCCAGCAGTTCTGTGCGCGCCGCCTTGTGCCAGGTGTTTTGGAGTCACATGAGCTGCCAGTCACTAGCTATGTGACCTTGGGCATGACTTGACCTCTCTGAGCCTACAAACTGGGGGAAAATAATGATGAAGGACTAAATGAGATAACAGATGTCAAGTACCTGACATAGAGCAGGTACCTGGCAAAAGGACTGTCATAGATACACACGCATGTTTCTCTACCAGGAACCAGCCCAGCCTGGGATCATTGGCACCCAGCAGGTGGTCTGAAAGAAAGGTCATTTCTCACGATATCAGCCCTTCCTGGAGCTGTTCATCGGTCTGACTAATTGTAAATGGATCTGCTGTCTGAGGTGTTGCTATGTCTTAATGAAAACGATTTTGTCTTGTGACTCTGGATAGTGGGATTCACAGAGTGCTCTGGTTTGCCCCGGGGATGTGCACCAGGGTGCTGTGAGTTTGGGGAAACAGTGTCTGGACCTCCTCCCCACCCTCACTTCCCTGTGGACACTTTGAGGAGACAGCCAGACTACTGGAAGGTAGTAACTAAGTCAGTGGGGGCAGGAGTAGGGATGGACAGATTTACAGGAAAGTATTCACCTGGGAAGACGTCCAGAGATACTTAGGGGTTGGCCTGTCTAGGCCTCTGGGATTGCTGTTTTGTGGGGGCTGAAGGAGAAGAATCATGATTTCTGGCTTGAACCTTGTGGTGGATGGAGGTGCTATCACCGAGATGGAGAACTGTGGGTACAAATGAGTCTGGGGTGGGCTGGGCCTCCTCCAGATGGCTCGCCACCAAGCCTTTGTCCTTGAGCTTAGAATTGATGGGAGATGGAAGACAATGTTGGTTACACTGTGGACCCAGACAAAACACCTGGGTTCCAATCTCAGTGCTGCCATTTACTAGCTGTGCCATCTTGGACAAATCGATTAACTTCTCTGTTGCCTTCTCTGTGACTTGGTTTTCTTCTTTATAAACAGTCAGTTTTAGCACCCACTTATGTGCCTATGGGGAGTTCTGCCAGTGTAGCTCTTAGGGAGTTGGCCTGCTAACCCAAAGCCATTGCGTCTCTGGTGGCTTGAATCCGCCAGTGTTTCTGCTGGAAAGAGATGGGCAGTCCCCTCCGATGCAGTTTACAGCCTTGGAAAAACCCACTGCAGGATCTTCTATGAGTCAGTTCCAGCTGGACAATACTGATTTTTTCTGTTTGTTGGGGTTGGAGATTTTGTTGTTGTTGTTATTGATTTGGTTGTTTATTCTTTATGTGCTTAAGTAGGACTAGTGATAGTTCATTGGTAGAAATCTTGCCTACAGAATGAAGGTTTGCTTCTCAGCTCATTTACCTCAAGCATAGCTATCACCTGTCATTGGAGGTTTAGGTTTCACCATGATGCTGAACACGTTTCAGTGGGACTTCCAGATGGAAACAGATGAGGAAGAAAACATGGTGATCTGCTGAGAAAATAGCCAGTGAAAATGCTATGAACTATAATGATTTGATCCCATTGTGCATGGGATAGCAATAATAACATATGCTTAAGGAGTTTGTGGATGATACAAATGGTTGACAAGCTTAGCTACTGGCCATGAGAATGGACGGTCCACTCCATCCAGAAGTGCTGCAGAATAAAGGCCTGGTGCTCTACTTTTCAACAAAACACCCATTGAGCACAGTTACGCTGTGCCATACAGCAACTGCCATGAGTTAGAATCAGCTTCATGGTAGGTATTTTACGATAGACTGTTCACTGCCAGGGAGTCAGTTCTGACTCAGGAAAACCCACCATTGAGTTTCTGAGGTTGTAAATCTTAATGGGAAGAGACTGCCCACTTGTTTACTACAGATTTGCTGTGGATTCAAACTACCGTAGACACTCAGCCCTTTGCTGCCACGAGACCTCGCATGCGCGTGTGCACACGTGTATGTGGAGCATACCTCATTTTATTGTGCTTCACAGATAATGCTTTTTAAAAAAAAACAAATTGAAGTTTTGAGGCAACCCTGCAGTAAGCAAGTCTGGCAGTGCCATTTATTTTTACAACAGCATATGTTCATTTCCTGCTTCTATATCACATTTTGATAATTCTCACATTTCAGACTTTTTAATACTGTTGTTATATGCTTAATACAACTATATGTATTATGTTAATGACTACTATATAATGAAAATATGACTTTTGTATGCACTGTGAAACAAGAAAAAATTCCGATAACTCACGGTGGTGTGATGTATACGTTGTTGTGGTCGTATGGAATGAACCTTCAAGGTGTGCATATGTGCGTGTACATGCACGATGTTAACAAGTGTTTGAATGGTACCTGTTACATAGTGAGCACTATATAAGGTTTATGTGCATTACTTTTTATCATGTCCGAGTGCATCCCCCACCACCATATGACTACCACTTACCTTCATGGCTGTGTCTCTGGTGATCACGTTGTGGCGACTAAGCCCAATGACCTCTGTCTCCATTTTTTCTAGGCAAACCTGCCTTCATTAAGGTCCCTGAGGACCAGACTGGGCTGTCAGGAGGTGTGGCTTCCTTTGTGTGCCAGGCTACAGGGGAACCCAAGCCACGTATCACATGGATGAAGAAGGGGAAGAAAGTCAGCTCCCAGCGCTTTGAGGTGCATGCTCTGGGTAGGGGCAGGAAAGGCTCAGGGCTTGCCTGTTCGGGGGTCTGGTCCTACATCCTCTCCCCTTAGTCTCTCTTCCCATGGGAGGATCAAGCTGACCCTGAGCAGGCCTGTGTCCCAAGTAGGTAGTGATCACGTATCTGTCCTCCGGCAGGTAATCGAGTTTGACGATGGAGCAGGATCAGTGCTGCGGATCCAGCCATTGCGGGTACAGCGAGATGAAGCCATATATGAGTGCACGGCCACCAACAGCCTGGGAGAGATCAACACCAGTGCCAAGCTCTCCGTGCTTGAAGGTATGTGCCAGAGAGGGATAAGGATGGGTAAAGGGATGTGTGGAGCCTTGTTCCTGCTTTGGGACTGGGCAGTCACAGAAAAGAGGATTAGCCCTCCTGGGGTCAGCAGTGGATACTAGGGGCCATTGGATCTAGTCTCGTTTCGTTGGCTTGTGTGTGTGACTTTTCTGCATTCTACTACTCAGCTGGGCTGTTGCTCGTGCAGGGTCTGGACCCTGACTTGGGATGTGGAGCTTTGACTCTGTGTTCTTTGAGTTCTTTGGCTGGTGACAGTGAATCTAAGTGCCTGTAGGAGAATGATTGTAGACATGACTTTAGACAGCTTTGTTCTCTGTTGCCCCTATGAATGAGAGCCCTTGGCTGGGACCTGACTGTGTCTCTGAATTTTAGTCCTCCCATCACCTGGTGGCTCTTCTGTCACTTAAAAGCTTTCCCTGATACTGTATTGAAGTCCAGAGAGTCAGCTGACTGGGACTCCACCCTCAAGGCGCTCCTGCAGAAGGGCAGCATGGTGGGCTGCTGAGAGGGGGAAGCTAATGCTTGAGGACAAGCTGTAGTTAATGAGAAAGGGGGAGACCACACTGAGGGTCACGTGCCGAGGCACAGAGGCAAGAGAGGATGCTGCTTTCAAGGCAGCCTGACTTGGTTCTGTTTGGGGGAACAGGGATGAGAGCACCGAGGGAAACAGGCAGAGTAATTTACATAACGTTGACGTGCAAACGGTACAGAACCAGGCTGAGGAATGGATACTTTGTGGGGACATGGGAGGTACAGATGGGCTTGGCAGAGGGAGAGGTGGCATGATCTGAGATTCAACCAGCAGAGGGGGAGGTGGCATGATGAGACTCAACCATGATGGGTTCATTCATCCAAATAAGTGTGTATGTATCTAAGAAAATAGCGTTGATTATAACTGCTTTAAAAATTGCCATGTTAATGCCTATTCAGTATAAAATATTTGGTGATTACAGAGTAGCACTTTGGAAAATAAATCACACATGATCTTACTTCTGTCATTAATATTTGGTCACTAAAGTGTAGTACATTTTCTTTATTTTTTAATATATGTATGAAGTTCCTGGGTACACTCCCAGGCATCTTAGAAGAACAGTTTGCTTCTGAAAAGTCAGCCCTCAAAAACCCCATAGAGAACAGTTCTGCTGTGACACATGCCGTGAGTTGGGATGAGTGCAACAGCAACTGAGTTGGGATTTGGGGAGTTATATCCTCATGGTGCAACAGTTAAGGACTCAGCTGCAAACCAAAAGGTTGGTAGTTCAGACCCTTCCAGCAGCTTAATGGGAGAAAGACCTAGTGATTCTGACTCTATAAAGATTATAGCTAAGAAAATCCTATGGGACAGTTTTACTCTGTCACATGGAGTTGACGTGAGTTAAAATCAGCTAGATGACAGCTGACAAGATCTTCTGTATTTGTAAAGTGAGAATGGGATCACGTTCTGCCCAGTGAGTCATATCCTGCTGGGGATTTTGGTTGGTTGGGCACTGGGGTTTTTGGTTTTGTTGTTGTTGTTGTTGTTGTTTGGTTTTGGAGGTTTGGTTTTGTTAATTTAAGATACTGTGAATACCTGCTTGCCATGAAATATTCCTCTCCATCATAATTTTTAATGGCTGTGGATAAACTGTCACATGGAACCCTAAATTTACTTAGCAATTTCCTTATTGGAGACATATATCTTACTCCCAAGATTTTGCTTTGTATAAATGTAGTGCTGTGCATATCCTTGTTGATTAATGTGTTCAACTTCCTGATTATGCTTTTATTCCAGATTCATCGAGCAGAATTGCTAGGTCACTGGGCACATGCATCTTTTAAGCCTTTCACTATTTCTCAAACAGTGTGTCAGTTTACACTCCCGTCAGAGGATCTCTTTCCTGCACATCCTTACCAGCAGTGGGAATTATCATTTAAAAAAAAATCTTTGCTAAGTTAATAGGCAAAAAATGGCATCTCAATTTAATTTGCATTTCTTTGATTACAAGAGCAGTTGAACATCTTCTCACATTGGCCCTTTTTACGCTCTGGCTTTATTTGTTCACATCCACTCAGTAACTCTTGTGTGTCTGTGTGCCTCCCGCCCGAGTCAGTGGGCTCTGCAGTGCTGCTCCAGAAAGCCAGTGCTCTGGTGGTCAGAGGTGGGACTCAGGACCCTTTCACCCTCACCTTGTGGCCTCATGGATTGACTGCCCTTCTGAGCCTCATCTGTAAACAGGAATGAATGTAACACTTTCCACCCAGGCTAGGATGTACTTAAGCAGTTCTGGGGATTCTCTTGTAAATGGTAGCCACTGATGGCCCGAAACCCTAGACATGTGAGCTAACAGTACTTGGCTTCCATGTTGCCTGACATCATTTTGGGTCTTCCACCCCTTATTGTCCCCTCACACACAGGCACTTACAGGGCTGGAGCCCAGAGGATAGGCCCTGGGCCAAAATGATTTGATTGCTTGGTGTTCCTAGCTTTTGCCTGCCACTCTGTCTGAGTTTCCCACTGCTTACCTGGGGATACATATTTTAATCCTGCCCTACCCTGGCATTTGAGACAGCTCAAGGGCCAAAGCTATGACTCCTACCCTGGAGGAGATCCTGGAGGACTCAGGGAGAAAGGGACTTCCTTTCGTTAACGAAGGGAGCTCTGGTAGCCTAGTGGTAAGAAATTAAGCTGCAATCCCAAAGACCTGCCGTTTGAATCCACCAGCTGATCCACAGAAGGATGGGCAGTCTCCTCTTGTGCAATTAACTGCCTCTGAAAACCTGCTGGAGGGTAGCTGTGGGTTGGTTCCAACTCGATGGCACACAACAACATAGTTAGCACAGCTAACCCAGTAAGCTCTTTGACTGTTCATACCCACCCACTGACTGTTCATACCCACCCACTGGCTCTGTAGGAGAAAGATAGGCAACCTTCTGCCCTGTTCACAGCCCCAGAAGCCCAGTGGAAGGTCAGCTATGAGTTGGTTCCTAGTCAGTGAATTTTGGGTTTTTGTGTTTGCTGATATTGGAAGAGGAAGTTCTGGTGACCTAGTGGTTAAGGAGTCACACTGCCAGTCCAGAGGCAGATGGTTTGAATCCACCAGTTGCTCCAAGGAAAAAAGATGGACAGTCTCCTCTGGTGTGATTTACAGCCTCTGAAAACCCACTGGAGAACTGTGAACTGTGAGCTGGTTCAGACTCGATGGAGCATAACAACAAATAATAATGTTGGAAGAGAACCGAAAATGCTCAGACACATCGCTGTTAAGTCTGTTCCAACTCATAGGACCGCCCTTTATGGGTTATAGATTTAGTGCTTTCTTGACTGGAACCTTGGGAACAGATTGCCAGGCCTTTCTTTCACGGTGCTGTTGAGTAGGGTTGAGCTGTCCACCTTTCCATTATTAGTATCCAAGCTCAAACTGTTCTCACTCTGCAGGGAGTTCTCCCAGTCCTGGCCCTGACTTGGTCTGGTCTTCTTTAGGTCCCACATAGGCTCTTGTCCTATCATTGTCCCTGGCAGCCTTATCTGTTAAAGGATATAGGTGGATGGCTGATCTTTTAGACCTTGGGATGAAAGGAATTCAGACTTGCTGGGGGAGATGGTCCCTTTATTTGGGGAAATAACTTTGGATCAGGGCACATGCCAGGTATATTTTTGTGCTTTAGAAGTATAGAGGGCCTCCAGTGAGGCTAGGCAGATTGTGGGGCGGCGGCTCCCTGCCCTCCCTGTGCTCAGAGTGTGGGGGTGGAGGCAAGGGCCTGGAGGAGCCCCTCCCCCTTAGGAAACATCACACCCGGAAGGTGAAATGCTGACTTGCCTTGTTGGGCTGTGTAACCTTGACCAGGCCTGGGCTTGACAGAAGGCAGGCTTCATAGTGCCAAGGGGTGGAGCCAGAGGGAAGCAGCCCCACCCACCCTCTATGAAGGTCTGGCAGGTTGCTGCCAGTGGAGAAGTGAGGTGAAAGGATGGTTTGGGGGAGGCGAGAGGAAAAGCCTGACCATTACCTAGTAGGCTGCCCCAGGGTCCAAGGAGGATGAGAAGTTGCAGCTGGTTTGGGGGCTGGGGTATCAGTCCCTTACCGTATATGCTGTAGTCATCCTCAAAAGCACATGTTTGTGTACACAAGCTCACCACACATGAGGCTCCTTGGGAGGGAGCTCAGACACAGGTGAGGGATCAGCACAGCCATAAAAATGAGCCCAGGCACACAGGCCCTTCACTCTTGCCTCGTCCCATCCAAGCCCAGCTTCCTTTACATGCAGGTCCAGATCCCACTCCACTGCAGCCTCTTCCAGCGCACACACCTGTCTTGGCCTTTGCACCCTGCACCCCGGCATTCCCAGTGTGCCTCTCTGAAGCCCACCCTCTACCTCATGACGCAGCCCTTGGCAGAGTACATGGTGGGTGTCCAGCACAAGCTGACCAGGGGTGAACACGTCCTGCGCTGTGACGAGCACAAGGCCCTGCCGCCCAGCGTTCCTGTCTGAGTGGTAATTGAAGCCATTAGCGCGCCAGCCTCTCCCTCGCCGGGTAATGGCAGGAAAAGCTCTTCTCGCTCCGCACTCTTGAGGCGGCGGCTGAATCACTCCTCCTCCAACCCACCCGCCGCCAGTGAGACAGGGAATCTGACATTTTCCCTCATGAGGGGGGGAGAGCCAAGGGGGAGGGGAGACAGACCTTCATTCTTGGCCTTTCTCCCTCGATATGGAAGGGGGGAGGTCTTAGAGCTCCATCTGGAGGTCATGGAGTCCCCTGGGGAGGTGGGTTGTAGGCCAGTGAGCAGGAAAACCCCAGAAAGAGGCCAGCCAGCCAGAGAAGTGGGTGGGGTTCTGATGACTTTGGTAGATTCTAGAAGGGCCAAGGAGAGGACCACTGAGCAGAAATGGGAGGTTGCTACAGGACCTGACTCCGATCAGAAGGTAGCACTTGCATTGTGTTTGATGGATGTAGCAGATCATGTGTGCCTGTGTGTGAGGTAGTATGTGTGTCAAGTGTGTGCTGC